ACAAGTGGGTAAACCTGTTTCTTCTCCTCTCCCTTCCCTTAGTACACTGGGTCCCTTGAGTATGAAGTTGGAGTGGGCTTCTCTTCTGCTGAGAGCTGAGAGGAGAGAGAGAGAGAGAGCAGAATGTGGAGCAGGAAGGAGGAGATCTAGCCTACCAGTGTTGACAAATGGTCAGTTAGCAAGGACAGGTAAGGCACAGACTGGACCTTGGGGGCAGGAGTGTAAGTTAGCACTTATTTGGAAAGCAGACCAGTGCATCCTTTGGTCCAGCTGAAGTGTGTGCACCACAGGACTGACTCAGCCATTCTGTCTGGGTCCAGGCCTGAGCCAAGTTCACGCTCATGTGCATCAGGATGCATGTACAAGACTGTCCACAGCAGCACTAGAAATGAATGACCTTCAACAGGAGAGTAGGCTGTAAAGACAGGTGCATACAACGGATACTAGATAGCAGCTTTATTTGACCAGTGGCAAGTTTGCCCCTGGAGGCCATTCAGTAATCTGAAGATTTTTTTTTTTTTCTTTTTTGGTACTGGGGACTGAACCCACAACCTTCCGCATGCTAGGCAAGTGCTCTATCACTGAATACATCCTCGGCCCTTTTTATTTTTTGAGACAGGGTCTCACTGAGTTGCCTAGGCTGGTTTCGAATTGAGATCCTCCTGCCTCAGCCTCTGAGTTGCTGGGATCACAGGTGTGCACCACCATGTATGGCTCAGTTTTTGTTTTTTAAAAGTGGGTGAAGGGGTGCTACTTCCATCCAATGGGTAAATGTTGGTAAACATTCTACAATGCTTAGGACAGCACCTGCCCCCCAACTCCCCTCCACTAATTAAAGATCTATTGGGTCCAAAATGTCAACTGAGGGGCTGGGGTTGTAGCTCAGTGGTGGAGCACTTGCCTAGCATATGTGAGGCACTGGGTTTGATCCTCAGCACCACATTAAAAAAAATAAACGAATAAAATAAAGGTATTGTGTCCATCTACAACTAAAATAAATTTTTAATTTGAAAAATTTTTAAAATATCAACTGAGCTGAGGTTGAGCAACTTGGTATACAGCTGTGAGAAGGAATAAACTAAGCTACATATGCCATCATAATAATGAGTGGAAGTGGCAGGCTGCAAGTGTAATGTCACTTAAATAAATTTCAAAAGCATGCAAACATCCAGCACTGTGTCATAGGGGGACTGCAGTAAGCCTGGAGCAAGTGCATCATCGCACAACATTCAGAGCCCTGGCTGTTCTGGGAGGGGGAGGGGGAGGGCTGGGGTGGATTCCTTCAGCTGGGTGGTGGGTTCCCTACTCCCTGCTTATTAACTAATCCATTATGAAAATAAGTGTATCAAGGTGAGAGTTAGTCCTGTGAAGAGCTCAGAAGGGTGGTAGAGAATTTCGGTGGCTCCAGCTTTGAATTGAGGGGCAAGGAGGGGTGTAGAGGCCAGCACCTCCAATCCATTCTTTTATCTCCACTCCCAGGCTGCTCCAGCCTGACTCATCTGACCTCAGAGGCTCCTTGATGTCTCTCTGCCTCTCAGCTGCACATCCCCTAATGCCTCCAGGCTCTGACTCTCTAATCAAACCTAAGTCTGGCCAGGTCTCTCTTCTGGGCCTTCTGGTTAGACCTGAGGTACTTTACCAGCATAGGAGGCTTTCTGGACTTCAGCCCCACTACCTCCCTACAAAATCAGTGACTCCAGCCAACTGTGGGGTGAATGAGTGTTCACTCCTGCAGACCTCCAGTTGCAGCTCCTGCCCTTTCCCCTCCCACACGTGGAAACAAGGACACTCCATTACTGAGCTCTGTCTGGAGGTGCTGTATCACCTGCCTTCCTGGCTTTCTCTGATTACCATTTCTCCCGCTGACCCTGCATTTTGGAGTATTTTATCTACCATGTGTTAGCATGGGGGTTCTCAACCCCAGCCACCTCTTAAAAACACTGTGTGGCTCAGACCTGACACCTACGTGCCAGGGATGGTGGCAGAGCAGCTCTGTTCTAAAGGCTCTCAACTTTCACTGAGCAGCTCAAGGACTGTTGGAGCTCCAGGGTTTGATTTTACTTTGCATGACAAAGCATAGATCTTGTGACTCAAAGCTAAAAGAAGCTCTCTTGGCATTTCACCATGCTGGTTCTGTTGGACTGTTATGGGGGGCATATGCCTCTGGTTGGACCCCAGCATCCAGGACCCTCAGGGAGGGGGCTCTGCCCTGGAAGTCCCTCTTGCTTTAGAACCCTGTTTCAGCCTTGGGCCCTTTCACTCCTGCCATCTTGTCCTCTTCTGCCCAACCATGTCCTTCCTCAAGCCACACAAGAACCCCACCTCTAGCACCTTGTCTTGGCTCTTCAGGGAGGATGTTAGCAAAGCCCTGGAGGCTCTTGGATGGGGCACTCCTGTCTGAGCACTCTGCAGGTGATAACCCATTTAGGTAAAGGCTGCATTTGGTGTCAGCTGAAGCTGTGGACTTGGAAGATCAGGGGTGCAGGCCATGGGAGAGGATAGCACAAAGCAGAGAATCATCTCAGCAACTTCCCTGGTGAGTTAGGGTGTCCTGTAGTGTGTCCTGTGACCAGCCCTCCTGGGAGCAATTGCCTGTATATAGACTTAGCTCTGGGTAAGCCTCTGGGCAGCTGGTTAATATTGGCTTTCTGGGGGTTAAAACATATCTGCAGCTTCCTCAGGCACAGTATGAAACCCCCTCCTTCTCTAAACACAAACTGGGCTGGGCTGGGCTGGACAGGCAGAGCACAGTGCTCCAGCAGGAAGGACACCCTCTATTCAGCACTGACTCCTGTGTGCTGAGTCTGGGGAACCTCAACACCAGGGTATAACCTTGGAAGCACTTTGCCTAGCCTGGCCTCTCTCCATCACCCTCTCCTGACCATCTACCTGGAAAAGGGGGTGGGTAGGTAGGTAGGGGACCTGGTACTGAATCTGGACCTCTCTGTATGGACCCCATCTCTTTTTCACACAGGTGCCAGACAGAGCCTCTTAAAAGGTAAGCCAGGTCATTCTATTTCCCTACTGAATAGTATCCCCTTGGCTTTCCCAGCTGCTTTAGACCCTGCATGATCTGGTGGCCCTCTGACCCCTGAGAGCATCTCTCACTCAGGGCAATTCTAGGGTCTCTGCCCCAGCTATTCCCTCCACCTAGGACGCCCTTCCCCCTTCCTTCTTCCTCATCGCCCAGATCTAAGCTTCTATAGTCATCCTAAGTCTCTCCCTGACCGGGGAGATCTAAGGCAACTGATGATCACTTTTTGTGACAGCAGCTGTCTTAATTCCCTGCACAGTACTTAAGACAGTCCCAGTTATCTTGTTTATTATCTTCTCCCCCCTCCTTCTCCCAGAATGCCTGAATCCCCAGAGGGCAGTGGCTTCTGCTGTCCTGTCCCATGCAGAACCCCCGGGGCTGGGGAGGGAAGTAGGGGCTAGAACAGGTCTAGCAGAGAGCAGGCTCTGGGCACACAGTTGTTCAATGAATGGTTGAGCAAACCCAAATGGGGACATCAGCTGCTGCGCCAGCGCGCGCTCCAGGCCGTGGGCCGCTCACGGTAGCGTGCGCGGGTTTTTATCTCCTGGCGAGTCCCAGGGGAGGGACACCTCCCTCCGCCGGCTTTCAGCAGACGCGCGGTAAATGCGCTTTGGGGACCAGAGGATAATAGCCTCTAGCGTGGGAAGATCGGGGTACCCCGCACGGTTGCTGGTGGCAAGGGGATTCTGCAGTCGCTGATCTTCCCGGGACTCCGACATTAAGGCCCCAGTGGAAGACTTTCTCCACCTTTCCCAGTGGTTTCCACAGCGCGAATTGCAGATTCCCGTCCGATCCCAGGGATTTAGCGGTGGAATGGGTGAAAAAGTAGGGCTTTGAGCGCCGCTCCCACAGAGGGGCAAGTCTCGGAGCCCTCGCCCCATCGTGGCTGGGACCACGGTACGGATCTTGCTCCGGGACGCGGCTGGCAAGGCCCTGGCCATCCCGGGGGCAGACGCCGAATCTAACCCTGGGCCAGTGGAAGCGCACTTCGAGCTCTACGAGAGAACCCGGGTGGAGATGGGGGCGGAGGAACCCGGGGGCAAGGAAAGGGACAAAGAGCGGCCCTGCCCGACCCCCCACGTAGGAGTCCTATTGTTCGTCAAGTCTCACTCGGTGCCGAACTCGGGTGCCCTCGGGAGGCGGGGGGAGAGCTGTCGCCTATATTCTAGGCATTTGTTTATTAGGGGTGAGAAAGGGAGGGCGGGGGACGCGGGTACGGGAGGGGGCTCGGGTCCCATTTCCGCGCGTCGCCTTTAAGGGAAGCCCTGCCCTACCTTTCCCACCGTCCCCCTCCTCTCCCGCGGCCGTACCTGCATTTTAAAAGCGCCCTGTAGCCCTGGGATTGGCCAAGGCCGCGTCCTCCCGGCGCAGAAACTTGAACCGTGGGGAGGCGGGGGGGTGGATGGAAACCCAGCGGACGGACAGTACCATCTCCACGGCTTCCCCCGCGTGTGCCCCTCCTCTCCCACACACCCCCAGAGAGGCCCAATCGGACGGGCGAGAGGGCGGGACCGCGGCTCCAACGCGCCTTTGGCAGGGCGCCGGGCGGGCGGGCGCACTGCAATAGGGGACGTGGGGGCCGGCCGCGCCTCCGCCCGCCCCCCGCACTCCCCCGGAGGCGGGGCCGGCCCGCGGCGCCCCGCCCCCTCCCCGCCCGGGGTGGGCGGAGCGGCTGGGGCTCCGGGAGCTGGGCCGGGGGCGGTCCTCCGCCTGCTTCGCCTGAGCCTGGAGAACCCCGGCACCGCGGCCGCCGACGCAGCAGTCGTCCTCGCTCCAGAGCCCTGAGGCGCGCGGGCTCCCGGGCGGCCCAGGCGGGTGCTGCGTGAGGGCGCGTGAGGCAGCGTGGGGCTGGCCGCAGGCGCCCCTGTCCGTCCCCCGCCCGCTCGCTAACCGGCCCAGCCAAGCCCCCGCGCGGGGAGCGCCGGCCCGGCGAGGGCGAGGGCGATGCCGCGGTGACGGCCCCGCCATGGCGAAGCCCCCGGCGGGGGCGGCGTCGGCGTCGGAGGAGCTGAGCCAGGTACCGGACGAGGAGCTGCTGCGCTGGAGCAAGGAGGAGCTGGCGCGGCGGCTGCGGCGCGCGGAGGGCGAGAAGGTGGGCCTCATGTTGGAGCACGGCGGCCTGATGCGCGACGTGAACCGGAGGCTGCAGCAGCACCTGCTGGAGATCCGCGGCCTCAAGGACGTGAACCAGAGGCTGCAGGACGACAACCAGGAGCTCCGAGAGCTCTGCTGTTTCCTCGACGACGACCGGCAGAAGGGGCGCAAGCTGGCGCGTGAGTGGCAGCGCTTTGGGCGCCACGCGGCCGGCGCCGTGTGGCACGAGGTGGCCCGCTCGCAGCAGAAGCTGCGGGAACTCGAGGCCCGCCAGGAGGCCCTGCTGCGCGAGAACCTGGAGCTGAAGGAGCTGGTACTGCTGCTGGACGAGGAGCGCACTGCCCTGGCTGCGGCGGGGGGCGCGGGCGGCAGCGGCGCCGGAGGTGCGGGCTCCCGCAGCTCCATCGACAGCCAGGCCAGCCTGAGCGGGCCACTGGCGGGCGGCGCGGCGGGCGCCGGGGCCCGCGACGTGGGCGACGGCAGCAGCACGTCGAGCGCTGGCAGCGGCGGCAGCCCCGACCACCACCACCACGTCCCACCCGCTCTCCTGTCTTCTGGGCCTCACAAGGCTCCCGACGGCAAGGCTGGAGCCACACGCCGGTCCCTGGACGACCTGTCGGCTCCGCCACACCACCGCAGCATCCCCAACGGCTTGCACGGTGAGGATAACCACCTGCCGCCCTGTGCGGGTTCGCAGGGCTGCAGCCGCGCTGGCGGCTCGGGTTCGTGCGGCCCTGGGGTGGGGAGAGGCGCTAGTCCTGGACCCGGTATCTTCAGCTGGCGTCGCACTCGGTCCAGGCGAACCCAAATTCACCTGCATGGGGCTTTGGGTGGGGGTAGTTGGTCAAGTGATGATGCGTGTTCCTGTCCAGGTTAGAATCCGCGGCCGGCGCTGTCCTAGAAAAGTTTCTAGCCTGCGGAGTTGTGTTACAGTGCAGCACTGCGGCGCTGGCCGGGGGCTTCATCCCAGGTTGGAAATCCTTGTCCCGGGACCCAAGGATCTTCATGAAAAAAACTAAAAGGCGCTTTGGGGCACAAAAGAATTTCCCCATACTTGGAGCAACAGGCGTCCCCCAACCTCAAGGGACATCCGCAGGGGTGCTGTGACTGCATTGCGCCTCTGCTTTCCCCAGCTGCATCCTGGGCTCTCACGGGGCTGCAGACCAAAGGCAGGTTTGACACCTAGGCTGCTGACCAGAGTTCTGCACTTCTGGCCGGGGGTCTTTCTCAAGGCTCTGAGATTTAGAGATGTAGTTGGAATGGATTCTGGCTTTTCGCCTCTGTGTGCCTCAGTTTCCTTAGTTGTAAAGTGGAGAGGATGATCCCTGCCTCCTGGATTTGTGGTGGAGATAAGGCTCCTGAAAGGGTTTGTAAACTGTTGACCGCCTTACAGGAAGTACAGCGGTCATCTGTGGCTAGGGTGTGGATGGGAGGATCTTCAGGAAGGCACAGCACTATCTTCAGCCATGTTGCTGCAGAGGGTGTCCTGCTCTGGGGTCTGGGAGCCCAGCAGCCTGCCCCTGTCCCTGCCCTCTGCTCACTGACTCTGCCCTGCCCCTTCCCTCCTCTCCTGCCTGGTGGATGACGGGCCTCCCTGTTCTTTCACGTTTTTGGAGGCTTCTTCCTGGTTCTGATGGCAGTTGCTACTGCCTGAATTATTTTCCTGGTGGTGGGGGACAAGCAGCTCTTTCTGGTTCTCCTTAAAGCTTTTTCCCAATTCAGAGAAATA